CCTTTTGGGTGAGGGGGGATTACTGCGGGTAATCTGTAACTAAGCAACGGGGAAAAGCACGGGAACAGGGGAACTATAAAATACCATGTAAGCTCTACCAAGCCAATCCCGGCTTTGTCTATACTTACTTACATTACGCTTGAGTAAACTTCTTTGCTGAACACATGTGTCACGAGAGTTTCTCTGAGACGAACGGGGTAAATCTTACACAGCACACATCTTCCCCAACAATAGATTATTGCTCTCCACCCTTCTAGAACTTCCAAGGTGATATTGCCAAGTAAATACGTCTTTAATACGCAGTCCTTTAATATTTAGTTCAAGCAAAAGTCTATAAAGTGTATAAAGTCTATATTAATATTGTGTGTGTATGTGTATAAAATCTGTAAAATGGCATACAACTTTTGCCTTTTTCCAAATGTTCCTACACTAGTTGAGATGAGCCACTGCTTCAGTGTGGTTGTTCCTCTTCTAGTTGCTACTGAGCTTCCGGCAAAGCTCCAAGCTCCAGGCAGCACTCCCACCAGGATATGCTGCTCACCAGAGCTTGTGGTCAGTAGTCCTCTTGCCTGCTTGCAATAGCTGTTTGCGATCTTCAGAGGTTGCCTCCGCTTCTCTGTCTGTAGGCTGTTTGCTTATCACCTTTCCTCCTACACACACACCTCCTTACTCTGTCTTAGCATTTTCTTTCCTAAGCTAAGAGCCTAGGTAGGGGTGAGGCTGCCTCTGGACCTCAGCACGTCCTTGAAAATGCCAAGGTGTGGCTCAATTTTCACAGGCAGCTGGAACACCAGCTTGGATGCTTGGGAGTAAAGTTTGAGTTAGGGAAATGGGGTAAGAAGCATTTCTGCCTGGCCACAGCTACTTATCCCAAGCACAGACAGCAACTCCAACTTCACTCCCTCACATATGCTACGCTAGGATATAAAATATTCTGGAAAACATAACAGCAAACCATTCCTGAATATGCCAAGAGAAAACCATGCTTGCAACCACCAGGAGTCAAGGTCAACTTAAGGTCACTTTAGCCAAATGCTATCTCTTAGATCTGAATGGATGTTCAGGAATGTGGGTACCTGAGGTAGAACTAAAACTTTACTAGTAGGTCCGATGTCATTGCCCAGTGTTCTCCTTTCCTGAGGTAGCTGGGTTAGTCTTGGTGTTGGTGCAGGAGTCTTCTGGACTTGAGAGCTACATAAATCTGGAGACCATCATGTATGAAATAGCTTAGCATTTTTGGCAAATATAGATCTGTTCCATTCAGTATCTAGCAGTCAACATCCTGTTGCATCACCTTCTGTAATAAGATTTTGTTTCCTCTGGCGTGTTATCATTCTACGTTCTACTGTTACATTGGTTCCGCTTTGCATCTCATTACTCCTTTCTAAAACAATTCTCAGAGGAAATATGCCAGACAGGCAGATGTACAGTACAGAGGAATTACTGTCCTTCTGCCTCTGTAAGTTGCCCCTCATCCTCATTCACTTCTGAAGTTCCAAACCAGAAGATGAAAATCATTCATGGATGTCAGGATGCTGATGCCAGCAGACAACTCCTGCTGAGAACCACTTATTCAAGAGTCTGGCTCTGTAAGCAGGAATGGCTTTTTGTCAATAAGAGTCTTTCTTTGCTTTATATGCGATACGGGCCCACCTGCCTTTGAAGATGCTGCTTTTCAAGGATCACAGGTAAATTGGGCCTCTGTGCCCCTGACAGCTGTATTAAGGAGGAGAGTGGGTGATATAATGGTCTAAAATGGAGTATTTTTCTGAGAGACAGGTCAAGAGCCTGTGGGACAGATGGAGTTCCTGCACAGCTAGTTGCCTTTTGATCCTTCATGGAGTTTGCAATAACAGCTTCTATGGAATTTCACTTTTTATTTTTTTTATAGTAATTTTACTAAAAATTACAACTACAAAGATAAAGAACTAATACAAACAAAAAAATAAAAATAAAAATAGAAGGTCAGAAAAGAAAAATAAAATAGAAAAAATAGAATAGGAAGAAAAAATAATATAGTAAAGAAAAAGAAAAGAAATATATGAAAAAATGACTTCCCCCTTCATCACAACAAACATAAACAATTTTAGTAACTTATCACTTTCTCTTAAAATAAAACAAATGATCTCTTCTTCCCATATCCCATCTCTTATCTATAAACAAATTCTTAAAACCTT